AAGAACACACAAAAAAGAACGGTACCGAACGCGTCTCCCAACCCCGAACGACCTTCCTGACCTACGCGTCGGATAACCTGTTCTAGTGCCCTCGATAGAAAAAAATTTTCATTTTCCCTTCCATACTATCTTAGTCACTAATCAATGAATGAAAGAATGGATGGATGGGACGGTTCGACCCGCCAATCCCAACGCAGTCTCACCAGTCCCGATTTAGCTCTAACTTAGTACTTACTATCGGGTCGGTTTCCCGAGTCTGCCGAGCATTACCATTTTATGCTACCGTGGGCTTTATATGCTTCGTAGGATAGTGTGCCAAGGACCAGCCAACCAACCATTCAATTAGTTAATTATAACTGTAGACAGTTACTAAGCGGGGGTTTTTGCCGAGCCGAAGCCATAACCAACTAAACTTATTCCATTCTTTTTCTCTTCTTTTCTCTAGTTGTTTTTCTCTGAAAATGGGCTAGATTGTAGTTCGCTATTGAGAGTTAGTGAGTCACAGATTCGATTTTAATACGAACTCCGCGGTAAAGAACAAATCAGATTGGATAAAGTTGTCCTTTGAGGCTTTTTCTTTTTTCCCGCCCGTCAATATCTTCCTATTCCACTAAGCTCTGGGGCAGTGGGAGATATGTACTAACTACGATATACCTAGACTCCTTCAGGATAAGGATATGCAGGTACAGACATGCCTCACTAGCTAACTACTTCAGAACTAGTCTTGTTGCTAGTCATATATGATGGAATCGAAACTTCGAAATCCGAATACGGGTGCCTGTTTGACTATGCACTAGACTGCTTGTAGGTAAAATGTTGTGGCTATTCGCCGTAGAACGCTGGGGCGTTTGAAAATGTGGGTTCGGAGATTGGTTAGCTCACTTACTAGGTGAGGCGCCAAGGGAGAGGGATGACGTGGGTTTTCAGTTGTGCAAGACGCTGGGAAGTTGGAGGTTACTTCTTTGTAGTAGGTTATTCATTCATGTCATGTAGGATATGTATTTTGGAAGGTCAAGTACTTCATAGTACTCAATAGTTCAAATCAACTGAAGTTCAATGTTAAAATTACTCCAAGTTGTGCTGCTGTTGGATGCCAGATATATATTTAGCATCGGCTTCGGCATCTTTCCGTGATCTGCGTCATACTTACTCGTAGTTTATCCTATGGGTATCATGAGAATAACTGATCCTCCGGAGTAATGATAATGAGCATGTAATTAGCGGGGATATAGGATCGGTGTGTCGGTATGTATGAGAACCATCAGAATTTGGTGTCACGATTGTAAATATATTGAGCTTAGATTTTGATATGCGTGCCACATTGATACCACACTCATCAGAACACCAACTTTCTGGTTTATCAGTAAGAGTATTCATTCACATCATATGCCTACAATATATACCGAAGACTGTGACATGGAAAAGTCCATCAAGTATCTGACTTCCCCTTCTCCGAACAACTAGCACCCCTCTCCCCTACCTCTCCCACCTGCTCCACTCCATCTACAACCAAACCCTGCACATCAGCCGGTCCCTTGAACTGCTTCCGAGAGGTAGTGAACCACGTAAAAATGCTCAGCAACGCAATCAGCCCGATCGCCGCGCTGGTGTAGTTCATCGAATCCGGAGTGACTGGTGCATCCGAAGGAAAGTTAAAGGTAACGAATGCAAAGAACAGAAAGAGAAACCCAAGCCCGTGCAGGCTGAGCGATACGGGCAACGGGAAAGAGTAAGGACCATCGACGGGAGCGATATCATGGCCAAAGAAATACCCGAGGAGGCGAGCAAGAAGGACCAATGCGTAGGAGACGTCTATGGTAGTAATACTGTTAGCTTTGTCCTTGTTGCCAAATTCAATGGGAACGTCTTACAAAATCCCGTGGTCGCAATGGACACAACCGTATTAAAGCCAGTGACGGTGCCAAAGTAGATCGAGTTGAAAGCCATTTGCACCACAACAGTGAACAATATCGCATATATCGGGATCTTTCTCCTCTTCTCCACCCGGGATAAGATCCCAGAGAATGGCATTCCCCGGTCGCGTGCGAATGCAAATAGTGCCCGGGAGCCCTCCGCAACAAGACTCACTGCGCCTACCATCATGATTACCGTCATCATACTGGTCATAAAGCAGGCCGCGACTTTGCTTCGGGTTGAGTCGTAGAAGATCTGCAACACGGGGACACCGGTGGAGGAGTTTGCAGTCGCATCGATGTCGCCGATGCAGAAGCAGAGCGTCAATAAAAAAATGAATCCTGTTACAGCGCCCATCCCAACGGACATGACCATGGCTTTAGGTGCATCTCGCGAGGCATGTGTCATTTCTTCGGACATGTGGCTTGGAGTATCGTAACAGCACATGCCGAAGAAACTTGGAAGGATTCCGACCATTGTTGCCATTGCGGATCCGAAGCCGGTTGTGTTCTGGAAATCCTGAAATACGAATGCGGCATCTTGTTTGTTTTTGTTGGTTGCTAGTAGAACTACGACGATGATGATGAACGAGCAAACGTTCCACAGCAGGATGGCCCGGGATAGGCGGTTGAGCAGGTGGGGCAAGAATATATTGACCAGGAGAGCCCAGATTGCGACTGCATGAGTGACCAAGACAGTATGCCACCGTTCGATCACATACCCGGGATATACCAGGTTTGCTTGTCCGAGGATGAAGTTGGCTGCGAACGAGTTGTTCGCAGAGCCTATGGCGAGAATACCTGTTCTCAACTGAGCATCGTGACACAGATATTCTGGAGATATACCAAAGCTTACCCATTAGCATGAACCACCCCGTTATATACGACATCTCTCGAGAGATCTTTGGTGGTGCTAGCAGAAAGACCCATGAATACTGCCCTCCCGCTACAGGCCATCTTGAGCACCATTCTGCCATGGATAGGGCAACCGCAAAGGTGATTACACACACGCCTACCCATCCGAAGAGCATAACCGGTGGACCACCGGCATCTACTCCAATGATGAATACACCACTGAGCGCACTCCAGCTGTCGTACATGTTAGTCAGCCGTTCGACATGGTAAGATTGGGGTGGACTACCAGGTAACGATACTAAAACTGAAGCCTATCATATCCAAGAGGCCGAACGACCGTTTGAATTCTGGAGTTATGAACGTCAGTCAATACACTTCTAATTCGAGACTCCACCATGAATCCAGTCATACCTTGCTGATAGCCCAAGTGCTCAAGCGTGAGGTCTCCTTCGGTGCCATGGCCGAAGACATCATTGGGCTCCGCAGACATGATGCCGATGGTGGTGACTGTGCATAAAGGGTCTTGAGGCCGATCAGATTGACGAAATATCTGCTATATATCCAGCCGGGACAGCATGATAAGCTCGTGTCGATAATGTACCGGGTCTGTCGGCTGGCTCTGCAGCTTAGCTTGCCAAGTGGTGCTTATCAGCGGATCGACCGGTGACATTCTGAGTTGGAGAACTGCCATTGGCAGGACGCGCATCTTCAGCAAGTGGCATTGGGCCTATCGAAGAAGTAACTTTATTGCTTTTTCGGACCCCCCGACATGTCTTCCATCTGTAGTACGTAGTTTCTGTCTGACCAAGCCGACAGCGCGATCGGAGCATGACTCATCTGTGACTCCGATCGTGGTGAACTAGTTAACTTGCGGGCCACGTACCCATTCCCTTACTATATAATCGGTGAACCACAATCAGCGCCCACATGATTCGAAGTCGCTTTTGACCTTCTCACAATGGCTCACCTTGAGAACTTGCAAGGGCTCATAGCCCAATCGCTATCATTGGTGGTCCTCGCACTTTCTAGCGCCATATTCTGCAAATGCTTCTATCGCATCTACCTCCATCCTTTATCATCGGTACCGGGTCCTAAGCTCGCAGCCTGCACTTCGCTATGGTTAGCATACCATACATATATCGGCGACGAATGTACAGTAGTATATGATTTGCATCGCACATACGGCTCGGTCTTACGGGTCGCTCCCAATGACGTCGACATCGCCGATAAAGATGCGCTGGAGCCAATCTACGTTGCTCGCGGGGGTTTTCCCAAGACACCAGCATATTCCAAGTTCGACATCGATGGTCACACGACCATATTCTCCAGTTTGACTTTGCCTGAGCGAGCAACACGAGCGAAAGCTGTCGCCCCTCTTTTCTCTACGGCATCAATTCGCAACTCTCAAGAAGCCTTACGCGAGGTCTTTGACGACTTTGCAAAAAGACTGCAGGCTGAAGCGCGCACTGGCAGGCCAGTAAACGTGCTTAATGTGACGCGTGCGATGGCAATTGACGCTGTAAGTACGTATCTGTTCCACGAGAGGTACGGCGCCATCACGGAGGATTCAAAGTCAATGTCGGCATCGCCATTTGTGGATTCCTTCGTTGGAGTAGGTGCCTATTTCAATATCGTGCCGGGGAAGATCGGTGGGTTTGTCACGGAGGTCATTGAGCGTTGGAGCACGACCAAGAATGTGGAGCAGTCGCACGGACTGATCGACCAGTACGCCAGAAGGCTTGTCCGGGCAGCGGTACCAAAAAGTGGAAGCTATCAGAGCCGTTTGTTAGTGAAGTCGACCATAGCACAGTCTCAGATTGAAGTCAAAGATGTCTGTTTTGCAGGAACCGACTCCACGGGAATGAACACCGCGACGATCATGTGGTATCTTGCGAAACACCCAGAAGTGTGAGTAGCAATAAGGCCAGAGTTGTACCCCAATGTCACTAACTGGGCTTTCCTCTAGTTATGATCGTCTCAGACAAGCAGTCATGGAGAGTATCAAGAACGACGAGGATCCAACCGCGTGCGCGTACCTGCGCGGCGTCGTCCGAGAAGGCCTTCGTCTTTCCTGGGCCAATCCAATTCGCCTGCCTCGTTCAGTTCCGGCTGGAGGCTGGAAGTATCGTGACTACTATTTCCCGGCCGGGACGAGTGTTGGTGTTGCGGCCTTTCAGCTGCATCAAGATAGCAGCGTGTTCCCTGAGCCGCATCGTTTCCTTCCTGAACGCTGGGATAACGCGGACGACGAAATGCTCACGGCATTCTTTGCGTTTGGCAAAGGGACTAGAGCCTGCATTGCCCAGTCGTTGGCAATGTATGAAGTCACCATGGCTGTTTTCACCGTGGTCAAAGAAGATGTGCTGCGTGGTGCGTCGATTGTGGAGGACCGAATTGAGATAAAAGAATGGTTCAATTCCAAAGTCAAAGGGCACGAGATTTTGATACAGTTCGCCAGCAAGTGAAGCGACATACACTCACCAAGAGTGAAACAGCTAATTATAGACGTGTGTTTGAGGAAGCATGAACGCTATGTCGCACCGAATAGACACGTTAAAAGTCATCTTTAGAGAAATCAATATCCTTACCATCCAGCCACTCCGCCATTTCCTTGTATACCATGTCACGCTCTTTGCCAAACAACTGGGGCAGATTCTGCTTAATCGGATAGCCTAGCCGGCGCATACCATAAGCCAGAAACCGGTAGCCTTTGGGCTCCTTAGCTAGAGATTCATGGTCAATATGTGGCGGTCGAGTAGGGTCCACTGGTACACATTTATCCTTCTCATAAATTGGATGATTGCAGAGGATTTTCCATCCCTGCGGCTGCTTCTTCAAAAAGTACCCAAAGCGACAGTCACTAAAACCATCCATATTAGTAGGCTCATATCGGAGATGGGAGAGACGTACCAGTCGCTATCCCATTCAACGCCATTCTCATCCGCAAAACGACAGGAAATCGTACATTTCATTTTATCGATGGCACGATCACCCTTGATATCTACGGCGTGACCCAGAACCCGATGGCAAATAAATTCACCCTTAGCCCATCCTTCAGCCCAGGTATCAATGGCCTTGTCCCGATAGTTTTGCTGCCAGCTGATATTTATGAAGGCCTTGGGATCAAATATTTCCCTCAGATCAGACCATTCGCAGGCATCACGGTGAAGAGGCCAGCCTTCGCAGAGTTCGCGGATTTTGAACCGCTCCAGAGTGGAAGCGTCATCGGTATTGTAGGTTAGACGGTTGAATGCAGAAGGCGGTTCGGCACCTAAGCTGTAGTCGCCTTTATCTGGCAGTTTGAAAAGTGCAGGCTTTTCAGTAGAGGGGATTCTGTCCGATTGGCCGATGCCGCTCATTGTATCTGTCTGTTCTTGAGCTTTGCAAGTGGATGTAGTGTAGATGACAATCTGTTGGTATAGGAGGTATCATGATGGATGAACAGAGGCCTAGATAGAAATAGAGTGTCAGAATTTACTTCGGCTACTTTAAAATGACCTAATGGTATGACCTACCAGTAGTGGCGAAGTATATCCAAGAACATCATGAACCGTCCACTTCTAATGATATGTTATCTGCTTGGGCGTAAATATCAATCAAGTCTCGGAGAAGAAACCCCTTTGAGTTCCAGGCAAGTCAATACTAGTCTCAAGAGTGCTCATCGAGTTTGCAAGTTCGGCCTTGAGAGTAACCCTTAGATGTGCAGGGTAGAAACACCCGGCGCTGCGAATTGGTCGACAAACCTGAAACCAGTCACTCAAAAACTGGTTATGATGAAGCTCAGACCGGAAGCTTCAAGATTCAACAGTAGCGAGGAATATGCTTTTCGTGCCGTTTGCGTTCCATGGTGGATCTTGGAAGCGGCTGCCATACCAGGGTTTTTTGGATTGCAGAGCCATGTAGTCTGCTTGCAGGGTGTTAGCTGAAAATGAAGTTGCGGATCGGGCCATGGCAAGCAGGAATTCCCAATGGTAGACGTGGAGGTGGAATAAAACGATAGTATACAGTAGTTCTCAAAAGTGTCGGATTATGTCAAGTTAGTGGTAGGAAGGGTGAGACCGTGAGACCCGCTCACCCCACATGACGGCCTCGATAGCCCTGATTTTTGGAATGAGCTTAGATCAACTTCATTATAGCTGCTTCTACTTCTAGTAAAGAGACATTCCAACGCCCATTCTTTATCTGTGTCACTAGCACTCTTATCTCACATACAAAATCTTTACGGAAAATCTAAATCCGGACATTGTCCCATAGCCCGAATCTACCTGCGCTCTATAAGCCACATACCAGTTCTACCCCGAGCTGCAATGCCGGCCCGACTAGATTATTAGTACGATCTCGCATCTTAACACTTGTGCAACATCGGGTTCATCTTTTGTACATCCGGCTTGACTTGAGGGTGGCACAGGCACTTGGGTGGTGGGTGCTCCCTTGCCTTGTATTTCCGTCTGGGGCGATGGACGTCGAGATCGTCTGTGTTACCGGGAATGGATGCGGTTGCAGGTGTCGGCTATGTATGTAATGAGAGATTTATGGCCTTACGCGGAATAATGCGAGGGGCCAGTATGAAAGGGGGGGAAGGATAGTGCATTTTCGGAATGATATGATCTCGTACTATCTGTATTGATCTCAATGGTATAGGATAAGCCGAGTTAGGAGTATAGTAAGCCATTGTCTGTAGGAGTGTAATATGTTTGTATTTCAATTCTTAATGTATAGCTAGGTTAAAGAGCAAGCATCGCCAAAACAGTTTCACTGGTATTCGGTAGAAGTATGAATGAATCAAATCATGAACAGTTCAACTGTCTTAAACTTACATTGACAATATGATGCAAATGGTATCTGGAATGAGAAAAGTTTACAACTTGGCCAACATCTTGTTGCCCTTCTGCAACAGAGCAGCAGCATCGTCCACAAGCTCATCAACAATAGCCTTGGCAGGCTTCTTCTCGTTTACAACAGCAGCAACCTTGCCCATTAGGAAGGGGCGAGCGTTCTCAAGGGTTTCGTCGTCGACATCATCAGGAAGGTTCTCCATGTCGTGCTCGGCCGGGATGATACCCTGGGAAGTGAGCTTCTTGATCTCGTCTTGGCGGTTCTCTTCCCAGTTCTTGATGTATTCGTTGTTACGGACACGGAGCGGGCGGCCCTAAAGAAGTTAACATACGGATCAGGTGTAGTGTTTCGTTGAACTTACCGTGAAAATAATAGTGCGGATTGTGTCGTCAAAGCCAGCGGTGCGGACAGCTTCCTGGTGAGCCTTGGGGGCACCAGCCTCGTCAGCCAGGATGAAGCGAGTACCAACCCATACGGCCGATGCGCCAAGCATCAAGGCAGCAGCCACCGAGTTGCCATTGTACAAGCCACCGGCAGCAACCACCTGCACGGGCAGACCAGTCAAGGGACTCTTCTTGCCCTGGACCAGCTTGGCCACGGTAGGAATGAGGATCGTAGTGGGAACATCGCCAGTGTGACCACCACCTTCACCACCCTGAGCACAAATGATATCCGCGCCAGCATCGAGGGACTTCTGGACGTGCTTGGGGTGACCGATCATGTTCATGTACAGGATGCCTGCAGCATGGAGTCTGTCCACGACAGCTTTGGGGGGAACACCGACGGCAGAGACGAAGAGCTTAGCGCCGCTTTCGATAATAATATCCACGAGTTCATTGAGCTTGCCCTTGGTGTAGTCGTAGCTGAGGAACGGAAAGCGCATTAGCATCTCGGGTTTCCGTTTGTCATACAATCACATGGGTGTCTCACTTGGTCTTGCGGGCGCTTCCACCGACCTGGGGGAGCAGCAGATCAACACCAAAGGGAGCGTTCTTGTCATTCAGGAAGCTCTTGAGCTCTGCAATCTGCTCACGGAGCATGTCGGGGGTGTATCCGACACCTCCAATGACTCCCAGACCACCGGCGTTGGTGACCGCAGCGGCCAACTTAGGGCCGGCGGCCACGTTCATACCCGCCAGGAAGACGGGGTGGTTGATCTTGAGCAGATCAGTAAGAGTAGTACGGATTTTTTCTACAAAAGCAGGATGGCATTAGTATTCAAGATCCCCGAAGATTCCGGCGCATTGCATAGTGCATATGAAGAGGCGGTGGCGAGGAACTCACGCGGAGAAGCCATTTTGAAGTATCTGAAGAGGCGATAGATGGATGACAGGTGGATCGGAGACCAAAAATAAGGTACAAGGTAATAATATGTCAGTTAGCGAGTAAACAAGGGATGCGGAGACCCAGGGTATCCAAGCACAGTTATAAGGGAGTGAGTGTGCAGGCTGGAGGAGCCGAGGACAAAGAGTGACCAGCACGAGCCTCGGTCCAGGGCGTGTGATGGACCTGGCTATTGACGGCAGACTACCCCGAGTTTCCAGCCGAACCACCTGATTCCCGTTGCGGGGTTACCACACTTTGCCTTTTCTCAGTTAGCCTATGATTAGTCGTGGTGGCTGGTGAAGTGTGGCTAGTAAACAGTGTTGTTCACGCCTCAGGCTGTCTCAGCCGGAGTCAGGTGACGGGAGTAGCACGGCCCGCGCATGACGTATTTTCATTCCGGATTCGCTGTAGATCTCGCCTCTGCACTTCGTTTCTGAGCTCCGTGGCTGCTGCAAAAAGTATGAGACCCAAGCCAACGGCGACCTGGCATAGCAATGCTGTCGCCTTGACATCAGCTGTCCGCGCTTGTCGGTTCCCCAGCACAAGACTACTGCATTCTCAGCCATGTAGAGGCGGATCAATTCTTAGCAGATCATTTGGCAGCTTGGTAACAAGGCAGGTCTTTCATTGATAAGATTAGTGATATCACAGTCTAACTTCTATAGAAACTCATCTGTATCTGGTACGGCTTCTAATATATGCAATTGCTACACAACCTGCTCGTTGTTCGCTACCATTGGTGACCACCCTATTCATGAGGACAGTAAATCTTTTTGTGGATAGGACCTGGCTCACAAGGTTCGCATGTGTAGTATCTAGAGCTGGACTAACTCACTATCAGAGCCATTGCACACCAGTAGTCTCAGCAGAGGCACATTGAGCGGCATCAATGCAAGGAGATCCCGCCATGAAATCCTAAAGCCACTGTGCCACACCCGCAAGCTTACAACCAGCCGAGCACATCTATTCAACCCCAGCATGGATCGAGTACATCCCTCCACCCATCGGGCATTCATTGCCTTTGGCAGCAATGTCGGAGACCGCATTGATATGATCGAGGCTGCTTGCCGCGAGTTGGAGCGCGCCAACATCCGAATCAAGCGGACGAGCTCCCTCTTCGAGACAGCCCCGATGTACGTCCTCGACCAGGACCCCTTCATCAACGGAGTGTGCGAGGTACGTGCCCACCCCCATTTTCAACACATCAAACCCTAACCTCCACAGGTCGAAACCAGCCTATCCCCCATGGAACTGCTGGACACCCTGCAAGCCATCGAGCTAGGCCTCGGCCGGAAGAAGCTCATTGACAAAGGCCCACGCTCAATCGACCTGGACATCCTCCTGTACGACGAGCAAATCTTCACGCACGAGCGTCTCGACATTCCGCACAAACTGATGCTCGAGCGCGACTTTGTCCTCCGACCCCTCTGCCAGTACGTTCTCCCCTTCTCTTCCCTATTCCCAATTACCACTAACCACCAATAGACTAATCCCACACGAACGCCCCCCTTTCCTGGGCCACTCCCAAAGCTACCTCAACCATCTCAAAACCCTCCCACCTCCATCTCCCACCCCCCACCCAACAACCCCCATATCGCCCCTCTTCCCCCCAATCCACAGCACCAACCCGTCCCGCCCAACCCACATAATGGCCATCCTGAACCTAACCCCCGACTCCTTCTCCGACGGGGGCACGCACTCCCCCACCGACCTGAGCACCCTAACCACAACCGTGCACAACATGATCCGCTCCGGCGCCACCATAATCGACATCGGCGGCGAAAGCACCCGCCCGGGGTCCACCCCGGTCAGCGAATCCGAAGAATTATCCCGAGTAATCCCCGCCATCAGACACATCCGAACCACCATCCCAGAGGCCGCCCACATCGCCATCAGCATCGACACGTACCGGGCTCGCGTCGCCGAAGAAGCCTGTGCCGCCGGCGCGGACATCATCAACGACGTCTCAGCGGGTCTCCTCGACCCCGAGATGCTGCCCACCATGGCGAGGACCGGAAAATCAGTCATATTGATGCACATGCGCGGCACGCCTGCCACAATGACCAAAGTAACCGACTACCCCAATGGAATCATCCAAGATGTAGGCAATGAACTCCTCGAACGGGTCGCCGCCGCAGAAGCAGCAGGGATTAGACGGTGGAGGATGATATTAGATCCCGGGTTAGGGTTTGCAAAGAACGAACCTCATGATTTGACTATCTTGAGGGATTTGGATAAGTTGAGGACGGGGATCGAGGGACTGGAGTATTTCCCGTGGTTGATGGGACCGAGTCGGAAGAGGTTCGTGGGCAGGTTAACGGGGGTGAAGGAGGCCAAGGATAGGACTTGGGGGACGGCGGCGACGGTGACAGCGAGTGTTACGGGGGGTGCGGATATTGTTAGGGTGCATGATGTTAAGGAGATGTGGCAGGTTGGGAGGGTGGCGGATGCGATTTATAGGGGGGTTGTTTGATGGGGATGGATTGTGAAAAGTGGGGAGTTTTGCGGGTTTGTATATTCAACTATAGGGTTGTGGATGGGATAGAGATGTTTTGTGTATAGGGTGGAAGGGGTCTGGCGTATTGGTTTCCCAGCTTGTTTGGGTGTTGGGAAGGGTTCAACCCCGGATACTATGAATTGTAGATAGTTAGTGGCAGGATTGAGTCAATTGTCCTGTGATGATGAGTGCAGGGTTGGCATCTTGTCAATCAGATAACATCCACATCTATACTAAAAGCCATGAGGGGGTAAGTGGATAGATGAAAGAATATATGTTCAGCAATCTATCCTAGCTACGCTACGAGCAAACAAAAGCATCACCCGCAAGCAAAAATCGATCACCAAGCCAACCCAAACTGAACCAAATACAGCAGAAAACCCATATCATCCAACACACACACACACACACACACACCACCCCAACCTATCACCCACTCCCCTCCCCAGCAGAACCCAACCCCAACCCCAACTCCTCAGGCTCATCCCACTCCTCAGCAGGAAAAAACCCACTAAGAACGACAAACTCCCCCGCCTGGCACCTACTCAACGTCATCTCCCTAACCTTCTCCAACAACTGCAACTTAACAAAATACCGATCCAACTTCAAGGGCGGAAACATGAAATTCTCCAACCTATACTGGGTATAAAACACCGTCTGACCATCCTCATTAACCCCAAACGGTTCCGTGACATCCGTGCGCCTATTATACTTCTTCTGCTGCAACGGAGGCTGACATGTCAAGAACGCCTGTTTAAGATCCGGGTAGCGTTCTGGGCTGAGGTAGCCGATGACGGTCTCGCCCGCGTACGTGGGTTCGTTGGTGATGGGGTGCTTGAAGTGTTTGACGGCGTAGATTAGGCCTTCCCGGTCAAAGGAATTGCCGACGACGTGGTGCGGGTGGCCGCGGCCTGCGGGGCCGTGCTCGATCCAGAGTCCGTGCCGGTATGGGGGCCAGGAGTTGTCGTGGAAGTCTTCGGCGCCTGGGGGGAGGTGGAACCAGACGTGGCTGATTTTCCACGATGGGTAGGGGGCTCTTGGCTTGGGGTGGGTGGTGGGTGAATCTGGTGGTGGAGGAGGAGGTGGTGGTGGTGTTCCTGGTCGGAGGGGAACGTCGGTTTGGATGGGGCCTCTTCTTTCGGTGTAGAAGGTGGTTCGTGTTTCGGTGTTGAGGGGGATTTGGCTGGCCATGATGGTTTAGAGGGGGTGGGTGAGGATTACGAATGGAGGTGTTTAGGGTGTGCGGTAGGTAGTATGGATATTAGGGTTATGAGGCGGAGAAGAGGGAGGAAAAATGGTAGGCATCTTCGAGATGAAGAGGTTATATTTAAGGCATTGGTTGAATGTAGATGGAAGGAGAGGCTAGGGAAGGTGCGCCTGTGCTATATATATCGCGGAAGATTGTTGACATATACATACTTATTGCGTGCATGCTGAAGCAATGGAGTTGGCTTTTCATTCACTAATTCAGTTCTAGACTCGTAACCTACTAAGTTCAACGATGAATATACAAGGATTCAAAGCAACCAAACATGTTCAGTGGAAGGCAATTAATGATTTCAACTAACGCAGAAGAGCAGCATGGATGCGAGCGATACCAACCTGAACCGTTAATTCAGTAAACGGAACCTGGCGCACCCAGCTAGTCTAAGCAAACGGAGAGCACTGCGCTAGCCATGTTGTCGAAAAGTTCTGTTTATGAGGGTACTAATCAGGGGAATAGAAGACGGAGACGGAGACAGAAACGCCACAGATGAAGGAGATCGAGGAGAAAGCTGGCTAACAAGGGTCAGGATAAGCCGGAGGTAAGAATTGAAAGATTATCAGTGAGTTGTCGCGCACATATCTAGCTGTTCAGGTAGCTGCGTATAGCGCCTATATATCCTGTGAGTAAAAGTCGGCATGAAGACAATGGGGATAGACTGACCTTGCAGCTTAGTTGCGCCCTCCCCGACGAGCTGCGTCAGGTTCTCAAGGTCATCACCCGCGGTGATACCGAAGCGACGCACAAAGTCCTTGGCAGCATTTTCAAGATCACCGTAGGTATCATCGGCAACGGGAAGATCATCCTCAGGACGTCCAAAGTAGGAGTTGCTCGAGATAGCCTGGGCGCCGTCGAATTGACGAAGGCGCTCCTTGGCCTCAGCCTGAGCATTGGGGTCGAAACGATCGCGTCCGAAGAACTCGTCGGAAGAGATACCCTTCTGGCTACCGAAGCGAGACTTGGCCTGCTTCAACTCCTCATCTGTAAACATCGTTAGTCGTCATCCTAGCCGCTATAAGAACTGGGCAAGTCGCATACCATCAGCTGCAGACCGAGGGGCAACAGCACCGAAGCCCGGCTTTTTCGGGGCAGCCGGCTTCACGCCGACAGTCTGTCCAAATCCGAGTCTTCCAATTCCCATGCCAAGACGCTCCACATCACCTGAACTGCGTTCTTGGGTGTTCCTGCTAGGGCTGATAGGAGTGGGCGAGGCGATCGCCGTGGCAGCGGTGGTGGTCGTCTTGGCCTTAGCATCAGCCTCAGCCTGCTCGGCTTCAGGGTCGTAGCCCAGCTTCTCAATGCGCTCAGCCTCTTCCTTAGCCTTTCTCTCAGCTTCATCGAAGTCGATAATTTCCGCGGCGCCGATCTTCTTAGCCCCCAGCTTGGGGGCCTTCTTGGCGCCCAACACGCTGCCCTTCTTCGCAGTGGTGGTAGAAGGAGTCTTACGGACAGCAGTGCTGGCCCGGATGGCGGTAGGTGCAGGGGAAGAGCTGTCCTTGTCGGAAGCGGACAGGGGCGACTTGGAGCGGGAGCCGTTTGCGCCGGAGTTCAGGAAGGGCGAACCAGTGCGGCTGACAACCGGAGGGGTACCGGTACGGGAAGGGGGGTTGCTGGGGCGCTTGATGGAGGGCTTGTCCCAGGAGGAGAAGAAGTCGTCATCCTCAGCGGCGGGGGTACTGGAGCCGTTGGACGGAGTGCCAGCGGGGATATCGGTAATGACAACCTCACCGGGGTACCTATGCGTAACAAAAAAGCATTAGACCTGTAATTTATGCAGAAGACCCGAGCCCACTAACTGTTGCGCATCCTGCGCAGCGCGTCTCTTGAGCTCCTCCTTGTACTTCACGGCGGCGTTGCAGGTGTACTTGACTTTGACGTCCTTGCTGGCGAGAGCGGCAGAACCGCCGTGCGATTGGAAGTACTTGGTAGCGGACTCGTTACCGCCGACCTTCATAACTCGGAGCTGTTCCCATTGCCATTCTGCACGCATCACATTAGCACCGACGGACATAAAAGTCAGGAGATGCGATGAAGCATACGGTCGAGGTTGGTGGAGCGAACGAAGGAGATATGCACGCCCAGGTTACGGTGATTGGCCGAGCAGTCCAGGCACAGGTAGA